GAGTGTGAATGTATATGTTAGATACTCAGCACTTAAGCTTAGAAGTGCCTGTGTGATTGGGTGAATGAATTAGCTGTATAAAGCACTTTGAGTGCTCGGACAGAGTAGAAAAGCGCTATATAAGAACCAGTCCATTTACCATTTACATCTAATGTAAATTAGCCTCATGTTCACTCTAAACCTCAAATATGTACACGGTCAGAGTCGGGCTGAAGACAGAACCTGGATATTTACCTTCCTGTGTGTCACCGAGGGGCCGTGTGACCCGCGAGCCAGCTCAGTGACGGCCGGATCGGCAGCTGTACTTGACGATGGCGGTAGACTCAGCGACTGTCGGTGATGTTCGATGAAAACGCTCGTGTGCAAACCTCTTTCAGGGTCGCGTGACGAGGCGCGCTCTTTCGGCTCCTTGGAGTTCTGGCTCAGGCTGAGGGCGCCCATGACGGAGACGCTGCGACTGTACCGAGAGAAGATGAAGGCGGTGAGCTTCATCGTCACCCGTCATCGCTCAGATACACGAGCAGGAGAATACACCCACAGCGTACGCACACCTGAGCAGGTGAAGGTTCTCACTCGTGTCGTTTCTCCTCAGCCTCCGCCGACGACCGGCGACCAGAACGAGCTCTTCATCACCGTCCGCAGCTGCTCCGGCCTTCAGCCGCGAGGCTCCTGGCAGCCGAGCCCCTATGTCGTCTACAAGTTCTTTCGCTTCCCCGACCACCCCACCGCCACCGTTCACAACCGCCAGGACCCCGACTTCAATGACCTCGGGTCGTACTCCGTCTCGATGGATGCGGACCTGGACCGGTACCTGAAGTCGGAGCTCCTTCAGTTCTACGTGTTCGACTACAAAGAGGAGCAGATGGACACGTACCTGGGGAAGGCCCGAGTCCCTCTGAGGACGCTGACCCACGACGAGAGCCTCACAGGTGAGTCAGGTGTTTGTAGCACACTGTTCGCCTGCAGGTGCAGCTTCAGTGTGATCTGTCATTACCTGAACATGGACACACTTTACACTGGTTTAAATAAACTGGACAGGAAATGTTTTTATTTTTAGCTCCTGTTTGAGTCGATAAGACATCAAAAAGTATTTTAATGGTTTAAACTTCTTAAATCTAAAGTTAGCCAAACGCCTCGCTCTGCTGCTGTCTGAGGAAATGTTTCAGGATCAGGATGATCAGGTGTGAGTGAGCACCTGTAACCTGCTCTGCTCCCTCAGGTGTGTTTTCGCTGGCTGATCCCTCTGGACTCCCCGCCGGGAACATCGAAGTGACTCTGAAGTGGAAGGTCTCCTACATCCACCCGGTGGACGCCATGGAGGACGAGCCCAGGTTTACTCCTGTGGAGGAAGCGTTAGAGGCCAAACAACAGCCGGAGGGCAAGGAGGCCCGCCGCCATCGCGCCGAATCTCAGGTCATCCAGATGACCCAAACATAAATTATAAATTTAATAATGGCCTGAAAATGTTTTCGATTTTTTAACACAACAATCGAGCGATTCCCATAATTCCCTGAGGAGCCTGTTCCTCCTGAAGGCTGTGGCCTTCCTGTTCACCTGTGACTCGGTCCAGGTGTGCTCCTCCCTCACCTCTCTGGATGCTTCCCCCTTCAGGCCCCGCTGCCCAAACCGAGACCAAAGACTCAGGTGAAGGGAACGCCACCCGCCAAAAAGGTCACGTTTGGAGAAGGGACGGCCGCCAACCAACAGGTGAGAGGCACCGCCTCTGTCAGGTGATCAGAGAGGGAGGAGTTTACCTGCAGCTCAGCAGGTGCATTCAGGGCTCGGGTGGAGATCGGATAAAACAACACGTGGAGTTTGATGTTTTTCTGTTTTTCCTTCCTTCAGCTGGACACGTCGAGCTCAGCGGCCCGGGGGGCGGAGACTCTACCTGCAGCACCTCTACAGGTAACCTGCACACACACACTCCAGGTAGAAACCATCCCCCCAACACTCGTTAAAAACAGGTTTGACCTTATAAGGAATCAATAATTAATTCATGGTTTACCTGC